TATAAATATCTATATATATATATATGAATCTAATATCATATCTATTTCTATTATATATTCAAATAATATTCGTATATATAGAATTTCAATATATTGGTTAAATTATATATAAATGTATTTAATAGTTTCTTTTCAATGATTTCATATCATATTTTTATATAAGGAATATTGGGTTGCGGCCCAGTGAGAAGTGGTATCAGATATAGATTTCTAATCTATCTCATGTCCATCGCCATAATTTTGGAGTGTTTCTTGACATATATCTAGTTATCGGAAATTAATTTGTCATCCAATGGCATATAGCTTTGATTTATTATTTTCTTACCGTCAGTTGATTACGCATCTGTATGGCTGAAAACTCGCTGAGAGAACCTTTTTGGCTGGTAGATGAGATAAGTTGGATTGCTGCATGAGCGACCAATCAGCGCTGTTACGCTGAGCATGCGGCTCAAAATCCGTATAGCACTTCTAGGGCGGAAGCGCATGGCATGAAACAAGTATTGGATCGTTGACTGCTACTGCTAGGCAACAGTGGCGCTGATCCAGGCACTACTGGAGCCAGCTGTACTGCCTGGGGGGCACTTGCTGAGGTTGTGCTGCAGCTGCGTAGTGCTGGGGTGGAGGAATCACTTGCGGGGCAGCCTGCTGCGGTGCACCCCCCCACTGGGGCGCAGGAGCAGAGTAACCTGCCGGGGGCGCATAGTGAGGGGCTGGTTGTGCATAGTGAGGGGCTGCTGCAGCTGCCGGTTCCGCTTTCAACCAGCTGTACTGGGGTTGGGCAGGGGCCGCTTGCGCAGGGGTGTGCGCTGAGGGGTATGTCTGCACTGCGGAAGCATCAGGATAGTGAGAAGCGTATGCTGGAGCTGTCTGGGGAGGGTAGGCGTGGGCTGCCTGAGGAGCGGAGTAGGCGGGGGCTGCTTGGGGAGAAGGGTACGCTGGGGCTGGTTGGGGAGTAGGGTATGCTGGGGCTGGAGCTGCTTGGGTTTGGGGCGGGTAGTCTGGGTATCCTGATTGTGGTGGAGTCCAGGCTTGAGAGCTTGGAGGTTGGTCGAAGCCACCACCGCCACCGTCTCTTGATCGAGACCTGGCATCCCGTGGCTCACTTCTTTTCTGAGGCCTTTCTCGGCTTCGGCGATCTCGGCTGCGGCTGCGCCGATCTCGACTTCGATGCTCCCGATCTCCGCGATCTCGACTGCGTCGATCCCGGCTTCGTCGCTCCCTGCTACGCCGCTCACGGCTCCGGCGTGGGCTGCGTCGCTTAGACCGACTACGCCGGCGCCGGTCCTGGCTGCGGCCCCCTCGCCGGGAGCGGCTGCGCCGCCGGTTGGAGCGACTCCGGCGTCGGCGAGGCAATGTGCCATCCACCAGCGCCTGCAGCTCGCGAGGCACCTCCTGGTTATTGCGGAGCATGACAGTGCGGATTTGTCGCCCTTGGAAGTCATCGCGATCAGTCAGGAAAGTGACTGCAGTACCTGAAGAAGAGCACTCTTCAAGCTCATGACGCAATTCAAACAACAAACGCAAAAAAACAAAGAAGCAAATCCTCAGGTCTGATGATGCAGGGCAAGGCGCCGGAATGCCCGGCACGCCCAGTTCTGCCAATCCTATGCACATAGTCTTCGGCATTCTTGGGTGGGTCGTAGTTAATCACCAAGGTCACTCCCTTGACATCCAACCCTCGAGCAGCCACGTCCTAAGCAAAGGCAAAGAAGCTGGCCCGGCTTTCTTCGCAAATCAACATCCAGCTTTGGCCAGCTCTAAGGAGGTCGGGAAAAGCTTAGTGCATGGCCGTCGCACAAATAATCTTTGTGTAACCGTCCCGGAGATCATTCAGAGCACGCTCGCGCTCTTTCTGCTCCTGCCCACCCCGCAAGGTTGCAAGTTACGATGCTTCAAGGACGGATGGTCGGCAGGGTCCTTGTCGCCATGAATGGAGTCGCAGCGCACCCGCGCTCGATTCAATCCGTCCTCAAGCTGCTCGCAGGTCCTTCGAGGTTGACACGCTTTACCAGAGCTCGGGGATGTGACTTTCTGGTTCGGAATTAACGACAACGGTATCACGGCAAAGGCTCGGTAAATGCAAGCATGCAGACATGCATGCATACATACATACATACATACATACATACATACCTGCATATGCATGTATACATGCATGTAGACATACAGTGTTGATCGCTCAATTGGCTGGTTGGCTGTGTGCAGGTCTGCTTGAAAAGATGGTTGATTGGTTGATTGACTGACTAACTGACTGACCAACTGGCTGATTCATTCATGGACCCGGGTGTCTGGCTGAGCTTTCGGCCGAGATCTCGAACCACCAGGGCAGCCAAGAGTCTTCTTCGTGTTGCAGAAGATCATCGCACGATTCTCGCCACGGCCCTTCTCAGAGATGTCCTCAGTCGCAGGACAATGTCAATTACAAGCCTAGCAGTCCTGCAGCCACCACCTGCCCAACATCGCTACTTGATGCTACTTGTACAATGCCGAGAGGCATACTCCAGGAAGAGCTTCGTGAGGTGACGTACCTTCTTGTCAGGGTCGACAATCTTGACGATCTGTTTGATGGTATCCGAAGCTTTCAAGTGCTCTGTGCTGCCGATCTTGACCTGCAACAAGACTCGCTGCAGCCGCACATGCATTGGTGCAGATCATGTTGTGCTTGGGGTACCTTTACCGGCAGCTCGAACTATCAGCATCAAAGGTGGAAGGGATAGCGACATCCTGCATCCTTTCATGTGCCTCACGTGGACTGGTCTCAAAACTTCGAGGCCACCGGCCTGGAAAGGGTTGTTCACGAATTCGGCAGCTATCTTCTGGACGTTCGCGTTCCATGTTGCTGTGAAGAAGAGGGTCTGCCTTTCTGTTTTCTCCTTTACCTCCTTGACTGCCTTGCGAATTTGAGGTTCGAAGCCCATGTCGAGCATCCTGTCGGCTTCGTCCACAACCAACTTTGACACGTTGCTCAAGTAGAGTTCCTTCCCCTCAACGAAGTCGTTGAGCCGACCCGGTGTGCCCACCACAACGTGGCAACCCTTCGCCAAGTCTCTGCCTTGGTCGCGCTTGTTGCCGACGCCTCCATAAACGCAAACAGTCACGATGCCGGCATCACGTCCTTACTTGCAGACACCGGGCCCGAAGTTCCGGAAACGTACTAGCAAATACCTGTAGCAGCTACAGGCAGATCCGCAGCTTCTCTCACCGAAACAACAGCTTCTGGCCATGTGTTTCGAGCTGCCAAACTTGTGGGCCTCGTTCTCGACTTGGACTGCTAGTTCGCGAGTCGGCGATAAGCAAAGAAGTGTAGGATCTTTCGCCTCCGCCTTTGTCTCGATGATGAACCTCGGAGGGCACAAGTGGGCGCCTCAAGAGATGAAGATGAGCTTATAGAGCCGTGTATACACACCCGTTCAAAGGCGCATGGGTATGTATTTTTCAGTATGTAAGCACATAAACAAGTACACATACATAGTAAGTAAAATAAATAAATATGTATATATATATATATACATACGATAAACATGCCTTGTTGCAGATGTTTTTTGAAGTAACCCCTTTCGCCGCATAGTTGGTAGCATCCCTAGCTGCCCTAGGTGACAGCGGACCAGAAGCGTCTCTTTTCAAGCCAACCTCTTCTTCTCAGCCCTGCCGTGGCCTGTAGCTCTCGGAAGCTCTGGTTCGTGGCCAGGAGCCATAATCAGGGACTGTATGCCAAGACACTTAAAGGCCGGGAACAGGAAGGCCACCGTCTTTCCACTGCCGGTTGTTGCGATGCCGATGATGTCCTGATGGTCTGAGCGCACAGCACCTTGAGGCCTCTGATTGACGCAAAGGAAGATGGACATGAGGCACAAGGCAAGTCTGAAGAACACGCATGAGGCCACCGGTGGCAATCTGTGCATTCCCTGCGCTTTTGCAGTGGTCTGTCCTTCCCCTGCACCGCCAAAGGCCAGGAATACATCTGGATCCTTGGACATTGAATATGCGCACCCGTGGCTGAGGCAAGAAGACTCTTCTGCTTGCTTCTCTCCGCGCTCCCTGCTGCAATCCCGGCACGGGCTGGGCTTCACGAAGCCATTTCTCCTCACCTGGCATGTGGCGTCTGATGAAGAGTCTGGTCGCCATGTGCTTTCTGCGTTGTGTCTTCAAGACAAAGCTGAGCTCGAATGCAATGGAACTGACATAGCCCAGAGTTCAGGATCTTACATGTGGAATTGCGACTGCACTCGACAGGGACCTCGTCCAGCACCTCCGCAGGGAAAGGGCAGTCATCAAAGGTGTTGAAGCCCACTGGTGGAATCTGCTGGCCATCCGGATCCATGATAAGGATCTCCCTCAGTATTCACAGTTGGCTGCGGCCGCAATCTGTGGTTGACAGCTTTGGGTTGTTTTGTCTGTGAGAGGCTGGCATTTCCAATCACCTAGCAAATTCGGACCTTCTCAACTCACACATGGTCTGCAACTCTTTGCTTCAGAATCCAATCTGTGCTGTCATCGTAGAGCCTTCAACCATCCAAGCACCGACTGCAAGGTCTCGCTCCTGAACTTGAGAGGTCCTCAGCCCTCACAAAGCTAAAGCTGAGCGGCTCCTTTGTGGTCAGCTCCACCTGCAAACCGCTTGAAGCCAAAAGTGCCGGAGCCCTAGCCATGCCCCGACGTATCTTTTCTGTGCTCCACTACATTGCTGGGACTTGCCTCTTCCGCCGGTGGTTCAGCTGGCCGTGCCCGTCGGGGGCGCCTGGGGCTTCGACTCCTGCTTGGCCAAAGCTGGCAGCTGCATGCCCGGGAAGCTTCAGAGAGACATGAAAACGACTCTCCAGTGCTTTCTCCAACGAGCTTTCTCAGAGCAAAACGGCCGACTGTCTGCACGCATGCATCTCGTCGCACGCTTGTGCGGCATGGCGTCACATTCAAAAGTCTCCTCTTCCGACTCCTGCTGCGCTTGCGGCTACGGCTGCGGCGCTTCTCTCGCTCATTGGGCTTTTCACCTGCCAACCAAAGCTGCGCTCTGCCGGCAAACAAGCCATCAGGTCCTTGGACAGCTCATTGCTCGATTGGCAAAAATTGCCAGATCGGCATACTTTGTACTGTATAGTTGTAGTGATAAACTGGTACGGTAGGGCATTCTGCCCGAAAACCCCAAAATCATAAATCCCTCGACTCTCTAAGCCCTGCAAGCCCGAGCTGTGTTCGGCAACTCGCCTCCATCTGCAGGTGCCGCGTCCGATTGTGCCACCTCCATCGGTGCCTGGCACCACGTGGATTTCTGACGTCCAGGGAGGGTTTTGGTGCTTCAGGTTCAGGTCAGGGGTTTGTTGGTCACGTGCTGCCTAGCTGACCAAGTCTACTGCAGGGACACAACTAGAGGAAAGACAAACTGAGGCAAAAAAAACCGAAAACCACGTACAGCCCTTCCAAGTTGGATTTCGCGGCACAAGAATTGCACTTATGGAATTAGGGTGATCGGTCTGCCTGAACTTCCGACATGGCAAGGAGCACAGGCAAAAGCGAGGCCGTTAGCACAGCAAAGCTACTCAATCGCTTTGCACCAACAGCTTGGCCTTGGGTTTGAAAAGTAACTTGTGGCAGCTACTCGCAACAGCAGCACTTGCGACAGCGATGTCCAGTTGCGCAGGTGCAATATACCGAAAGAGGAAGCTCCGAAGCAAAAGACTACAGAGGAGACCAATGCCGTCAGCGCTAAAGTCGAAGATAGTCCAGTCTTTCCCTGACCTGGTTAAGGCTTGCAGCGTGGTAAGCTTTAGGTGTTCGGAATCTGGTCCGCTCAGCTGGGAAGCAGACATGCAAAAAAGCGTCACACATCCTCCTACCCTTGATCCTTCGGCAAGTTGACTTCAGCCCACCTGTGGTGCAGCTGCGGCAACGTCAGCCGGCACTGAGACCGCTTGCGAAGTGTCCATGTCCTCCGCATACCGAAGTGGGCTTTCAAAGGGTGTCCGGCGCAGGACAGGGGTCGCCTTGATCTAGGTAGACTGCTTCCAACTACCTCGGTGTCTCTCTGCAGCTGATTTGAATACGCGATCGAGCCGCAACAAAACTTTGACATGAACCCTAGACTAAACCGTGAACACCCAGCCCAAAACCCTGAACAAGCACGGGGCGTCTTACACAGGTCCACCGCTTCCGTCGAGCGCACCAGGGTCCCACAAACGTTAAGCCGCACCCTCAAGATCTGCGAGGGTCCGTCGGCACTTGCGGCTGGACGTCTGGCGCCTCTTGCGCCGCTGTGGGTGGCTCTGCCTGCTTCAGAACTCCGAGGAAGAAGTTCAAGCTGAGCAAATGTCGCATCATGCCCATGACCGGGTACTGTTCCGAGTTTCTCAGGAGCTCGGACGCCTATGGAAACGTGCCTGCAGACTGGCAGAGCCAATATGCAAGCCACTACACCACCTAAAAACCCGACAATGTGAATCCACTCTCTAATTTTGTGCTTACTAGTCGTGTGCGAGTCGTACAGTGCCTGCGCCTGCTGCGGTGCCTCCTCTGCGGTGCCGCCGCCTTCCGCCTTCGTCTCAGAGACTGTGGTTGCCTTAACTGTGGTGTAGTAGTGGTGGGCGCCGGTGGGCGCCGGTGGTGGTGGTGGTGGTGGTAGTAGTTGTGGTGGCAGAAGTAGTCGAAGTTGTAGTAGAAGTAATAGTAGTAGTACTAGTAGTAGTAGTAGTAGTAGTAGTAGTAGTAGTAGTAGCAGTAGCAGCTATAGTAATGGTAGTAATAAACAGTAGTAGCAGTAGCAGTAGTAGTGGTAGTAGTAGTAGTAGTAGTAGCAGCAGTAGCAGTAGTAATAGTAGTAGTAGTAGTAGTAGTTGTTGTTGTTGTTGTTCTTGCTGTAGTAGTAGTAGTAGTAGTAGTAGTAGCAGTAGTAGTAGTAGTAGTAGTACTTGTACTAGTACTAGTACTAGTACTAGTACTAGTAAAACTAATAGTAGTAATACTAATGCTAGTAGTAGTCTTCGTCGTCGTCGTCGTAGTAGTAGTAGTAGTAGTAGTGGCAGTAGTAGTTTTACTCGTAAGAGGTACTGGTAAAACTAAAAGTAATATTGCTAATAGCAGTCGTCGTGGTGGCTGCTGCTGCTGCTCCTGGTGGTGGTGGTGGTCGGTAGTAGGAGGCAGGGTGGTATTAATGTACACGGGTGCTCATGGGATCTTCTGCTGCATTCCGCTCGTAGGTCTTGCTTGACTTCATGTAACGATCAAAGGATGGGAGCAGAGTCTGACGTGGTCTTGGCACTCCAAGCGCTGCTTGTCTGCTTATCACACCACACATACGCATGCCGGAGTCGTCACGGGGCGTGCTCACTTCTGGGCCCACCTAGTTGAGCAACTACATCTCGGGTGCCTCAATCTCATCCTCTTCTTCCCGTTCTTCCCATTCGTCATCGTCTTCATCCTCAGCACTGGCTCATGGAGGGAGGTTGCCTTCATGGCAACATCATGAAGTGACCGGCCTCGTCGTCATCATCGGAGCCATCGTCAGCATCCCAGTCAAAGTTCTCCCAATCCTTAAGCACAACAATGGCATTTGACGAGAAAAAGCTACTGTCTCAGAGCCACTACAGTTTTGTCATCAAGCACACCCAACGTGTCCATAACCCGCTGTCGGGCAAGGGACGTCTTCCTCTTCTTCTTCAAGCAACGTCTTGTCTCCTTCGCCCTCCAGGGCGCTGAAGTCCAGCTTGACCTGTGGCAGGTGGAGTCGCGAGGCTTCATCTTGTGTCTCCCAAGGCCGGTTGAATGCGCCTCTTCCTCTTGCGTGTACTCACGCACGGTGATGTTGCGACCTGCTAGTTCAACCTTGCAGGGGTGGTGCATTGAATGCTCCAGAAGCCAACATCGACGGGACAAAAAGCTTGTCCGTAATCGGAAGTAACAAGTCATCTTCGAATTACTCCGCCAACGACAGGACAGAGTAGTCCAAAGAAGCCATCAGACACAATTCGAAACATCTAGTGGGAATTTGCTTCCCAGCTTCGGGAAGGCGAGCGACCTCATTCATCGTTGCCACTGCCTTCTTCTGGGCTTCCTCCGTGGCGAACACGACCAGACCTGGTGTAGCATCCGGCGACTTTAGCGCATGCGACTCGGGCAGGGCTGAAGACGGATGTTGCACATCTCGGACAGTGGCGAGGTAGCGAAAATCCCCAAGCCCCAAGTACACATGGCCCTCGTGCGCATGTCAATGCCCTGTAGGATATTTGATGGTCGCGGCGTGCAGGTGTAGTTTTTGTGGGCAGTTTGTAGTGTGTACTTTCTTGAAGCACGGCTCTACAGCTATGCCTGCCCCTCCAACCCTGCGCTCATGTCAGGACAAGAAGGCCGACGAAGAAAGCATGTGCCATTGGAGCTCAAATCGCCATTTTCACAACCGAGCTCTCTGGTTCGTTGCCGTGCGGCCCAGATTTTCTCTCAAGCCGCCCAGAATCCGCACGGAACGAAAAAAAGAGTCCTCTCACACCTCAACTAGCCTCAACTGGACATGGACGCAGCCGAGGGACCGCTGCCGCGAGACTTGCCTTTGGACTTGCCCTTGCTGCTGACGAAGACCTCAGCTGACAGAAGACCCAGTCTGGTAACGAACAACCGATCCGCAACAACGAGTATCTTGTGATCTGCCACGGGCGACCGGAATTGACTGAGTTTCCAAGTGCGTTTGGGACCTGCTGTCAATCATGATCGCTCGAAAAGCCGGACCGGCTGCTTACAACAAATACCTGTCAGCACAGCGGCCCGGCTCGCAACCACCTCTCCACAAGCAGAGAAGGCTTGCTTCAACATCCTTAGGATGTGCACTCGTTCTTCGAAGACTAAAGATGTAGCGACCTGCGTCCCCAAAGAACAGCAGCTAGCATAACATGAAGACCAAGGTAGAGCAGAGGCATTCGGATGCGCGTCTCGGCAACTGGGCTTTAGCCGAGAGTCTCATCGTCAACCTCGGACATTGCAAGATATGTTAGGCAAGCAAGCACAATTTCGCACATTCAGGGACGCAAGAATGCTGATTGCACGGCACCCTTCGATTCTGCCCATGTCGGTGATGCTTTTGCATCTGGGCCAAATTAACCCTCGACCTTAAACCCCGAAACCGTAGACAGCGCCGTAAAGCCCAAACCTCTCAACTTTATACCCGGAACTCCTAACTCCTACAGGAGCTTCAGCATCCTTCAGTCGAGAGGCCTCGTAGGATAGGCTACCAACATGAACAGTGGGTCCTTCTGGAAGCTTTTCCTTCTTTTCCCTTCCCCGTCGACCTCGGCCTTTGCCTGCGGACAGAGGGCGGTTTAGGGTTTAGGGTTTAGGGTTTAGGGTTCAGGGTTTTGGTTTTAGGGTTTAGGGTTTAGGGCACAAATCTCTGTGTAGGGGCACTTGACGGTTAGCAGAGTCTTGGCTCCGTGCCTTTGGTTTCCTCGCCCAACTTCTCCACCGTGATGTTGGAGCCCTTGTACCAGGTGTTGTTCCACTCCGTAGCCTTCTTCATCGACTCGTCGTTCTTGTACTGCACATATGCCTTGAAGCAAAGGCTTGGGGCCCCAAGTGGTTTATGTAGTTTAGGGTTTAGGGTTTAGGGTTTAGGGTTTAGGTGAGCAACAGTCGCAGGGCTAGAAACCATGACATTGGACGGATTCGCTCGCCACCCACCAGTTCCGTCACCGTGGTAGACATCTAGGCCAGCCTGAAGCCTACGCTAACCACAGAGACATCAATTTTTGGCATGCTCACAAGCTTTTCCGGGATTGTGTAAGGTGTTGCGTGGTGTCTTCGACGCCTCTTCAACATGTTCTACATCCAAAGTCACCACAGCCTCCGAAAGAGACATGCCTCCCACAGACCCAGCCCTCTGCTGAGCAAACACTCGCCCTGAGGTTCGGGCAAATCCCTTTCCTTTGCCGTCCTTACCAGAGGGCATTGAAACCCTCTTCAATAGTCCACAGGTGGCGAAGTCGGCTTTCAGCTGCGCTTCCGTCAGCCAGTCAGGAAGACCTCTAACCACCTGAGTCCAAATTTGGGCCAAGGTATGTGTTTCGGCCTTCCTGGTGAGGGGGCAGAAATATGTTCCAAAGCTTGGGCCTATCACCCTGCATGTATCTTCGCGACCGCCGAAACGAAAGTGCCGAAAGTGGTCCTGACTGACTACACTAAATTTAATGAAGTCGTCGTGGCCACTATGACGAATACAAGCTGAGCTGGGGTGCTGTCGTCGATGAGTGTTCTTGCACTTCAGATCATGGAGTACAAAAACATGTTCTTATTGTTGTTACTACGTTACTACCGCAGTTCAAGTCACCACGGTGTGGTCGTCGTTCTTCTCGCCCCTCTTGCCCTTGTCCGTCGCACGGTGCACACCTGAACTCGTCTGTTGTGTTGGTCTCAAAAAACTGGGGAGATCTGCAGGTACTGATCTTGGCTGACTTCTGAATGTCTGATACCAACTACATCTAGACTCCCATTATACATATTACAGAAACCGACAAGATAAAGACCTAAAACTCAGCCAGAACGCAGCACGAAGCAAAAACCAATACCACCTCATGGTCCCCGTAAGTCAAGCATTTGTAAAACAAAAACACAAAGCTCAACCCTAAATCCTGTGATTCGTCCCTGTCTGTCAACCGGCGAAGCGACGAAGCCTGATGTATTCGCTGGGCTGTTGCCCACACCGCTTTTCAGCATGGGCGTGGACTGCGTGCCAGCATCCCCCACACTGCCAAACCCTTTTTCCTAAACCCTAAGCCCTGCAAAACAATTCTTGCACTGACGGCTCTAGAGCTCCAAGTAAAGAGGGGAATCGAGACAAGCCAACAACTTCAAGGAGGGGGGGCATCGAAGTGTCGACCATGCTGCCAAGTTGCTAATCTTGCCCGCCCCGAAAAAATCTGTGCCGTTGAGCTCTGTCGCCCTGTGCATTCACACGCTGGGAACATGGAGAGAGAAACTGCAGTACGCCTGACCCGCTAGTGCATCATCGATGAAACATGATGAAATGACTCAGCATCTGTCTGAGACTTCCTCACAAGAGCCCGACGAGACTTCGTCTCAATGCCTCTGGACCATCTCGTCAGCTGTGAACTGAATGAAGGCGGTGCCTGACGTAGAGGCGCAGGGGCAAATTATTTCCTACCACCACGACAAATGGAAGCCTGGCCTTCTTTGCCGGGCACAATCGGACGTTGTCGCCAGAAGGTCTGTACTTACATTCTAAAGAACCCTACACGGAAAATAATTTTCTGTTCGAAGTTCCTAAGTTGTCGAGAAAAAACGCGTGTCACATGTCGTTGTATGCGTACTAGCTACTAGGAACAGAAAATACAAGCAGGTGTGTACAAGCATTCGGGGAAACATTCGCCTTATGAATACTTCCGCTCGTCAGTACAGTAACATACGCTGAAAATGTTTGGTTCGAGACAAGCACAGAACAGAAAAACCAAAGCAACTACTACTATTACTACTGCTGTCGTAGTAGTGGGTATACAACTAAACTAAGGGACATTTCTTGATGCTACTCGCTACTACCACTACCATAAGTTTAATATCATGACTACCATGACTCTCAGTCGCGATATTTCCATGTCTACAACGGTGATTGTCTGGCCTTTAGGCATGCCATCTGCTCCGCGAGGCAAATTCAAGCGGACGATCTCGCCACACGGTGAGAAAGCGCTGTTCAACCTTGGCAGTTTGCGTTGGGTTTCCGGTGTAGGCTGTTATAAGCTCTTCATGGGGTTCTATTCTATTGACACGGAATCTAAACAAGTACTGTGCCGAATTTACACTCCAGATTTAGGCTCTATAACCACTGCATGGGTTTCACAAGGATTCGTTTGGGGATTTGGAGGTATTTAGGTTTTGCGCATTAGGGTCTGAAGGTTCATGGTGAAAAACTTTATAGTTAAGGGTCTCGACGCTTCGACCCTCGCTGTTTTTTCCCTTGGGTACGGGCAAGGATGGGGCTACGTCACAGGAAGGAAATGCATGAAGACATGTCCATATGCGCTCGGCGGCATTTCTTCGTTGGTCTCTGACGGGAAACCTTGGACAAGGCAAGTTCCGTGTACAAGTTCCAGTTGGGATTCGGGAGAAGCACGTCGAGGTCAACGCAAAACTGAGGCCGGCACCTTTCACAACGACGGTTAGTTCGTCTTCCTTGTCCTTTCCTTTGCCGCCGCCCTTGCTCTTGTCTGAAGCGTGCTTCACCCGAAGCGGGGCACCCATGTACAGGAAGTTGTCATAAGTGAGAGCCTCGAGACCAGGTAGGCGCAGAAAGTGCAGCCACGACACTATTCACTATTCCAAACGTAACACTCGACGCATCGACTCACTGAAGATGCTGACGAGGAGCGGTGTTGAAACCTTCCTGCGTCTTGAATTCTATGAATCCAGCACCCTTTAATCTTCCATCCTGCTTGTTCCTAGGCAGGTTGACCCTGGCAATGTCGCCGCAAGACGAGAAGAATGCCGTCAGCGATGCTTCATCTGCGTGATCGGGAAATCCCTTGATGACAATGGTCAGGTCGTCGTTGCTCTTCCTCTTGCCTCCTCCCTCGTGCTTCTCACTTGCTGGCCGGACAGTGAGGCTAATGCCCATAAAGAGGGACTTGTCAAAAGAACAAGCGGCATTCACTCCCTCCTGAGTCTGAAAGCCAACAAATGCCGCACCTTTGGGCAAGCCGTCCTTGGCGCGAGGTATGCTGACACGGGTGATTTCGCCACAACACGCGAAGTAAGCCCTGAGGCTGGCTTCGTCAGTGGTGGACGGGAATCCCTTGACAACGACTTCCAAATCGTCGCCTTTACCCTTGCCCTTGCCCCGCCTGCCTTTGCCATCCTTCCCCTTGCCTCCACCTCCCTTGCTTTGACCTGTGTTCCAGTCGTCCCATCCGCCAGAATCCCATCCGTTGCTGCCATTTTGCCATCCTCCGGACCAATCATATTGATCGTCCGCCACGGCAGCCGCGGCCACAGGTCTGGCTGGCAATGCACTTCCAGCAACCTTTGGGGGAATAACCCCTGGCTGCTTCGGCATGCTCTGCATCAAACCCTGTGGAGGTGCGACGGATGGTGGCTTTGGGCCACCTGGAATCTGCAACTTCGGACGCACCACGCCACCTTAGGACCGCACACTTCTCGTAGCAGAGAGGAGGAAAGAAAGCAGTCTAGTTGAAATGACGCCGAGTGGCCCGGTGGTGGTGTAACCACTGGCTTTGGTGTGGTGAGCCCTGGTTTCGGGGTCAGGAGCGGCTTTGGGATGATCAGCGGTTTTGGACCACCACCAGAAGGAATCCTGAGCTGCGGATACGTTTATCAGGACATGCAGTTGGTGCAAAAGAAGTCGCTGGCGACAGCGCATCATGCGGCAGCTTTGCTACACAATGACATGGCCGCTCACGGTGGTCAGAAAACTATCCCGGACATCAAGCAAGCCTCTGAAATTTGGCGGGCACCGTGCCACCGGCATGTGCTTTCGGAGGCACTTCGCTTCCTTGCACACATGTCCATAACACAAGTTTCACGCTGTAGCCTATCCACGCTCCACATGCCGGGCACATACTCGCACGGCACGCCCCTCGAAAGCAGCCGTCCGACACGCAAAGGCTAAACTCCATCAGCTGCATGCTTTGCAAACCCTCATGGTGAACAACCCTTCCCACCTTGACCGAGAGATTTGTTTTTTGGAGGAACAACTCCAGGAGGCCGAACGACTCCGCCAGGCCTGAATAGGAATCTCGCGTCACAATGGAATTCTTGGCTTATGTGGGCCACTGTACACCCGATGATTGACACCCCNNTAAATCCCAAACATCCCTAAACCCTAAAAGCTGAACCACCCTCCCTCCCCGAACAATAGAAGAGATCCAGATGTTGGAATCCTGAAACAAAACGTGCCTCTGTATGCCCTGCATCGCGGTGCTACAGTGAAGGAGCCGGACGACCGCACTAAAGGGGCCTTCTAACCAGCTGTGTAGATTCAGCGATACTTATGCGAAGATTGTATATTGGGAAACCTAATTCCGCGCAAGATCTGCTTTAAATTGGGATGGTTAGTTGCTCTGACGAACAATTTTTGAGTTGTAATATATACACCTTGCGACCCAACCGCTTATAAACCAATCCGCCGGCTGCTAGAATCGCAGGGTATTGCAGGTGTCAACCACAGCCTGAAACAGTCCTTAAAAGACACATGGCAGATGGCGCATCGAACGCCTAATGTGCCTCAACATGACCCTAGCTCCTTTCGGGCTCATGCGTTTCTAGACGAAAAACCGGACTATTAGTAGTTGTTAACATGCCACGGACGAGGAAACGATTGGTTCATGCATCCTTCAGGAACGAACCAGAATGCAGCATAGAAACATCCACGACATGATGGCGTCCGGCGTGAAGAGCCACTCCTGGCAGGCGTCATCATGCGCATCGTCATGTGAATGAACTCACATCACACAAGATGCAGGCAGCAAGTCCGCGGCTCCTCTATGGACCAGCTGGAAACTACTTCTCAATGCGTTGGCCGCGCATGAGCTCCAAAGTTACAAATGTTGTCAAAAGCTTGCCATACCCATTACAATCATTACAAGTTTGCTGGTGGCGAAATTGAGCACCTGAGAGAAAACCATTTGGCTCACTCGCGGGATCTTCTGTCAGGGGACAAGTGTTGATGATTGTGACAGAATGACATGAATTAGGCTTTTGGAAATCACGAACCGATATTGCTGAACCGACATGCAACTCGTCAGCAACCGTTGACATTCACGTGAAAGCCAACATCTGCTGTTGACATGTTGTCGCAAAGTTGCCTTCCGTAAAAAGCCACTGCATGCGCCTCCGTGTTTCTTGTCCACGTCTCTCTTGCTCCCGACTTACCGGTCTTTTTCTTTTTTCTCGCGCAGCTACCTGCATTTGCTCCAGAAAGATGGTTATTACTTTGCACGTTAAGCGCGGATGAGTGTGGTGCAATAATGTGTGTCATGGGGGCGTCCTCAGAATGTTTTCGCGGGTAACAATACTCATCTCGGAAGGGGGATGTCGGCAAGCCTGTCGCTCAGCAGCGGAGCTTCGCCATCGACAGTTGGACGTGCCGGAAATGGAAAGGAGGCTGGCACGCTGGCAGCAAAGGGGTGGGCGGCTGCGAAGCAAAGCAACGCAAACAGGCAAACCATCGCGAAACAAAGGCAGGTATTTTTTTAGGTATGCACGGATCGTGGGACGCACACGGAGAGTCTGACGAAGATCGTATTGCGTTGGCTATGACCTGGGTGCAACGCTCATCCTGCCAGGCGACATCAACGTTTCGGTCCACCGGCAAAGCAGGGGCTGTGGGTCACAAACCGTTGTGCACGTCGTGCTAAAAAAACCGGCCTTGTCATCCAACACCGTCGAGCACGCGACTCGCCTCCTCAGAAATGTGCAGGCAGGCCGCAGCTGCAGCAGCAACAGCAGCAGCAGCGCGACGGAGCGAGAAGAACGGGCAGTGTGGCGGATCATGCGGATAAGTAGGCCGCAAGGGCGGTACTGCAAGCTCAGTCCTCCCAGACCAGCCGGCAGTAACGCACGCCGGTGTGCTGCAGTCACCTAGGGATCCGCGTCGCCTTTTTCGCCCAGCAGCGCGAAGAAGGCATCACCAGACGACACCGTCCTGGCCACGCGCCGCATCAAGCGCAAGCTGGGAGCCGTGCCACGGCACGGCCGTGTATACGACCACCTCGATGCGCCGCACGTCCGCGACAGGAACGTCGAGGTTCATGTCGGCGAGCTTCACGTGTCGGGCGACCCTGACGCCAGCTTCGCGGCAGACCCGTGCGACGGCGCTCAAGAGGCCGTGCACGTGTGGCGAGGACGCCGGAAGTGGCACCGGCCGTGCGGTGGTCGTTGAGGCCCCGTGGCAGCTGCACCTGCGCGGTGCGAGCGGGAGGGGCAGGCGCAGGCGCCGTAGCAGGAGGACTGGGAACTGCGCACGACGGATGGCGACGTCATCGCGCGTGGGCATGAGGTTTAAGCGAAGGGCCCTCCCTGCGACAGCAGCAGCGCCCGAGACGCGGGTGAGGTCAGTAAGCTGCGTCTCGTACGTGCTCTCGTTACACGCACGGGCAGCCGAACACAGAGTCGTGGAGGGTTAACGTTGTTGTTTTTTTCCCTTGGTCCCCAGTAGGTCTCATTAGGCCGTATAGTGAGTCGGCCAAGACTTCATGCAGCTTTTGCAGAGGCCCTCGCCGAGCTCGCGGGCATGTGTTGCTGTTTTGTTGTGGCTGTTGCTGTTGCTGTTGCTGCTGGATTGGCCGCTTGGTGCTGGTGCTTCTCGCCGCCGAGTCGCCTGCTTCTTTGGCACTGCTACCTCGAGCGCACCGGTAGCAGGAGTTCAGCAGGGCGACCCTTTAGGACTGGATGTTTTTGGCGGCAAGCTTACGGCCCTGTGGCGCAAGCGCTGAGAGGCCAGCCAGCTGGAGCTCGCCCGCTTTACTTGGACGACAGCATCCTGGCAGGTGATATAGCGGTAGTTGGCGCTGCCCTACAGCGCATGGCAGGTGTAGCTCCGGCCCCCGGAGCCCGCAGAGTGCAATCCGGCACGGGGCCAGGACCTAAGGTTCCAGCGGAAATTATCCGTCCATGATTCCGTGACTGCGAATCCCGGAGAATACATGCTCCAAACGAGGCACGGCAACGAACCGGGCCCATGCTGATCCGTGCTGCAGATGCCGCTGCCAGCTGGCAGCATCACAGCCGGACACCAACGTCTTCTGCTTCATGCCGACGGCGAGGATCGGGAAGTGGGGGTGGGCAGGGGTGCCTGGCAGGCGTGGCCGACTGTGCTGGTTACACGCCGCAGCTGATTGCAACATGATGCAACATGGCAGTTTTGGACGTCAAGCCGGCCGGCGCATAGTCCGGGTCAAGCCCCCTGCGCACGCACACGCGTCCACGACTATAAGGCTACATGAGCATGGGAACGCAAAACGGGCGCGTTGGGTATTGTATCGCCGTCCTGTGTCGGCTAGACATCGACAACATGGGCGAGCGGGTGTGAAGCCTAACGCAAGTGTGGGCAGCGAGCCGCTGCCAGCCTTCCACCGGCCAACGGTGGCCGGGCATCTGCAAGCGGGAGGCACAGACTCGAGCGAGGACTACACAGTACAAGCCAGGACTCCCCCGCCACGCAGTGCTCTGAGCAGGCGGTAGCGGCACACGAGGAGAGCGTCGCACCAGGATTCCCCGTGCCGGTCAGAGCCGGCGCAGCGCAGGCCCAGCCCACCGGAACTTGCACGAAAAGGGATCCAAGCACGGTGAGGCTTTGACCGAGGTCGGCAGGTGCTGGTGTTTCTCTCAGCCTCGTGGGCAGCAACGAATCCAGCATCACCAACGGCAGCTCTGAACAACTCGAAGTTTTGTTGCGCGCGGCTGCTGCAGCCGGGTCAACCCGTTGGGGTACACATGGAACCGGAGGTATCATAGCATCCTGGACTGTTGCAATGCATGGACACACGTAGGCCCAGATCGGAATATGAAGCCACGCGGCTGCCCTTTCTGTCGCCCACGATGTCGAGGCCAGAGCCCACCGCGCTGCAACCGTAGTACATGTCGGCGAGCTGTCTGCTGCATGTTGCGCCCTCACTGCAGAGCCCCTCGCACTTGCAGCCGAGGCTACTCTCGCCGAGCTCTGGGATCATGAAGCGCCCACCCAAACCACCAAGCACCAGCCCGAACAGCCGTGCCCGTTTTCCTGCACTGCGCCGCGCAGCGCCTCGCGCAAACCGATGTGCCAGCCACGGCCCTTGCTGCAATCCGCGTTGGCGTTGGCAAGATCGTCGCCTTTCAGAAATTGGATGGACGTGGCATTCGCACTTAGAAAGGCGGCGTTTTGCGGCGGCCGTATGGGTCGGACACTCGCGCAAACAAGCTTTCGCAGTGCGACTCGAAACTGTCTGCTTGCCTTACCGGGACGGCCTGAGCACTCGTGCTGCGGCCTTACCACATGGGAGTTTCCGAAAACAAGGGGTACGTTTTCTTGGGCTCCTTGTAATAAGGATGCTACTTTTTAGGGACCCACAGTCGGGTCCCCTATTTTCGGAAGCCCCCACATGTCCCGCGGGCTGCAACTGACATCGACCATCGTGCAACGATCCTGTCCGTGGTCGCACTCGGTGCCTATCAAAAATCATGTTTCTGGACAGGCAATGCTGGCGGCTTTGCATGCCCGCCCAGAGCTCCGGACGCTCCTCCCTTCGCCCGGCGGTACTACGGTGCTGCCAGCACGTAAGGTGTCTCCCACAGCATCGCACAGGGGGACGGCGCTTGCTCAATCACCCCCGGTGGAAGAGGTGCACGGGCAGCTGCGGGACGGGCAGGCCATCTTTGCGTATCTCGACGACACGCATATCATCGCCACCCCGGAGCAAGTCCACGAGCTGTACGCAACGTACCCGTGGGCATTGTGTTCCGGCAGCGACGCCTACGTCTGACAGCGCCTGGAGCAAATGCGAATAACACGACCGCCTCATGCAACACATCCCGCTTGCAAGGCTATTGCTAGTGTTGTTGTTGCACTATAAGGCTGCTC